CCTCCACCACGAAATCTTACTGGCAGGCACTTGAGCCTCAGGAGGAGGGACCCTGTCTTCTCCCCTTTGGGCTGCCACCTTGAATCTCTCCAGCTCAGCTGCACCCTCCCCCCTCCCTCTTTCTCTCTCTCCTCCCCTCTCCCCCCCCCATCACACACACATGCACGGATCACACACTCTAAAGCAAAGCCCCAGTCCCCCCCAGTCTGCTCCTTGCCCTCAGCCCTCTCCTCCGCACAGCCTTTGTGTCCCACATTGTGTCTCTACCTGTCGCCCTCAGGGAAGACGCAGGCACCCCAGCTCCCGCTCAGGATATAGGGTGGAGGCTCCATGAGATTTTTCCGAGTCCCTCCCAACACCCCTGTGAGCCCCGTTATAAGACCAAGTGAGCCTGGAGACCCGACAATCGATATCCCTCAAAGATGAAGATGCTAATAACTTTATCCCCTGTTGTCCTCCGACTCTTGCCTACATTAGCTCTCACCACAGGCCCAGGCAGCTGGGACTTGCAGTGGGCAGGCCTGGAGCTGAGTAACCCCTTCAGATCCAGGTGGGAAGCAAGAGGGTAGACAGCAAGAAGGACTTCCTGACACTCAGGAATGGGAGGTCACAGGGATAAGACACAGGAAGCCTCCGAAGCATGTTCCTAACACCTGGATGGATACGTTGGAGACCTGACTCAAGTCTGTGAGGATCTGTGACCTCAGAAGCACCCTACAGGGGTGCCAAGGTCGCTGTCTAATCCTTGAGGGCTGCCCGGAGGAGGTGAGTGGGGAAGGGAGGTCTCCCTGGGGAAAATCGGGGGACTGGAGTTGACAGGGTTGGTCAGCGGGGGTCGCTCTGGCCCTTACCTCTCTAGACCTGCAGTCTGCAGGGGTTCAGAGGGAGAAGAAACCCCTTCCTCACCTCCCAGCCCCCACAGCCAGCTAAGTCCTCCCTCTCTGCAGCTGGAAGGCTGGTCGGGACCAGGCAAGAGCGCCTCTTCTGTGAGCACTGTCCCCACAAAACATGGCACCTGCCAGTCTGTCCTGCCTCACCCACAAAGACCAGGGCCAGGCCGGGATGGAGGGCACGCAAAGGATGGGGAGGAGGAGACAGAGAGAGGAATGAGGCCAGCCACCTTGTGCCCGGCACATCCAGGCCAGTCCCTGCTGGAAGGGACTCACAGGACTTGCTGAAACCCCCAAACAGCCCTGTGAGGTGACTGCCACAGTCACTCCCATTCTGGAGACAAGGTCACGACGGGACAGAGAGGCTGAGTGACTTGCTCAACATCACACAGCTGCTGAGCACAGAACCTGCCACTCTGGCTCCAGAGTCTAGAAGCTTGCTCTCCAGGGAGCCTGGTCTTGGAGGAAGAGGAAGGGACCCCGTTTAGCAGGGGATGGGCTGAAGAGCCTGGGCCTCGGGCTTGATAGGAGACAGGGCTAGAGTCCAACCCCGCCAGGGGCTCTGCTCGCGCGTTCCCAGGCCCTGTTCTGCAGCTCAGCCTCTGTCTTTTCCTCCCCTCCATGCGGGTGCGCCCACAGCCTTTCTCTGCATGGCTCTGGGCTGCTCGGCCCTCTCTCCCTCTGGGCCTCTGTGCAGGCTCCTCCTGCCTCCGTCTCTCCTGGCGGCAGATCCCTGTCTCCCCACCGCCCCAGAGCCAGAGGTGCTCAAAGGCTCCCCTGTGGCAGTGGGGGCTGTCAGAGCTGAGGCGTGGAGCCCCTGGGGGGCTGCAGGGCCGAGGGGGGCGTTCAGCCTGGCTGAGAAGTCGGGTTTCCTGGGTCCTGGCTCTTCCAGGGACTGTCACCCCCTCCCGCACTGGGCAGCCTGTCCAAGGCCACTTCAGGAATTTGGCAAGACAGGCTCTCTCCAGGGGCGCCTGGGTGGCTCAGTTGTTGAGCGTCTACCTTCGGCTCAGGTCATGATCCCAGGGTCCTGGGATCGAGCCCCTCATCGAGCCCCTCATCGAGCCCCGCATCAGGCTCCCTGCTCAGCAGGAAGCCTGCTTCTCCCTCCCACTCCCCCTGCTTGTGTTCCCTCTCTCGCTGTGTCTCTCCCTGTCAAATAAATAAATAAAATCTTTTAAAAAAAAAGACAGGCTCTCTCCAGCTGACACTCAGAGAGCCCAGGGCCTCTGGAGTCTGGGATTCTCTCTGGGGTCTCCCTTCACTTGGGGGTTCATAGGGATGCAGGTCAGGACAGTCCCCACCCAGGCTGCCCCAGACCTCTGCCCACACTGTTCCCAGAAACCAGAACAGATGCGCGGTTCCCCTGTCTGTCAGGAACCCAACCCCTGCAGGAGCAGGGCAGGAAGGAGGCAGAGGCTGCTTGCAGAGGCTGAGGGGGCCCGGATGGCTTGGACCCCTGGGTTCTTCAGAGAGCCCATCCCCGCACTGGGGTGGCCCTGGGGGAGCCCCACCGGCCTCTGCATCGCTGACGCCCTCTCTCCAGAGTTGGGAGGATGGAGCTGGCAACAACCTCCTTAAGAGGAGAGTTCTGGGTGCTCCCCTCAATGCTGAGCGTGCTTGCAGAGCCCACCACCAGGTCTGAGCCTCCGCCTTCCAGTCCAGACAGACTTTTCCGAGAGGGTGGGGCTTACACTAGGTCTAGGGGACCCAGGTGTCCCATCCCCACAGCCTCAGGTTGCTATCCTTGTCCCAGCTTCCCATGGGGTCCTCAGGGTCCCATTCCATTGATCCCCCTGCAAGCATGCATCTCAGCTGGTGCTTAGGCCCTGGTGGGTGTGTGTGGGGGGCAGCTAATGGACTTGGCACAGCCAGGAGGTAATTAACAGGGAGGGGCATGTGCCTCGCTGGGGTGGAGGGGGGCACCATTAACGACAGAGGAATCCAACAGCTACGGCGAGGAGGGTGGGGGCTGTGTATGTGTGTTCACATGTGTCTGTCCGTGAGACCTGCTCATCTGCATGTGAGTGAAGGGGAGGGGGGCTCTTAGGCCATGAAACTGGCCATGTGGGTGCAAGCAGGCACCCTCCTCACCAACCACGACAAGGCCCGGGGCTCAGGTTGCCTGAAGGGGTCCGAGTGACTGGCTTCAGCTCCTGTTCCTGTCCCCTCTCCCACTCTCTCATGGAACATACCCCTCCCCGTCCTGACCTTGTTCCCAGAACCCCTCACCTTACCTGCCCAGCTTTTCCAGCAATACCTCTGGCTGTGGTCTTAAGAGCTTCTGATGCCCTGATGCTCTTGACCTTGGAAATGTTCCACTTGCCCAGGCACGTCCCTTCCACTCCCCGACCCTCCATCCCCTCTGCTCCAGGGATGGCCCAAATCCCGCTCAGGGAGGACACCCCAAACCTCCACCCACGGAGTCTCCCAGTCCACCCCCTCCTCAGCCCTGAAGAGAGGCTCAAGGAGCAGAGGAGGGGCGAGGATGGGAGTACGGGTGAGAGAGAAAGCGTCCCCACCAAGCTCCCATGCTGTTCTCCAGAACATTCTCTGATTCGGCTGGCCTGTGACTGTTTCCACCACTCATCCGCCCCTGTCTGTCCATCGGTGTCCGTCTGTCTCTCTGCTCTGTCCCCACATCCCCCCCGTACAGTCTTTCTGCATGTCCCCAAGTCTGTAGGTTCTGCCCCTGTCTCTGCATTGTCTCTCTCTTCGCACCTTCCCTGGCCTACCTGTTGGATCTGGTCGCTGACCCTGTCTCTTCCACCATGTTTCCACCCCCCCCTTACTCCACCTGGTGTAAGCGCCCCCTCACTGGGTGGGGCCGCACTCACTGCGCACCCCCCTCCCCGGTCAGAAGAGGAGGGAGGACCTGTGAACTTGGCCCTCAGGGACCAGACCCCCCCATCAATCAGCCTGCAGCTCTGGGTCAGACCTCCATTAGCACTAACCAGCCTGGACAAGAGGCAGACACCATCGGGCTAGGCCTAGGGGTGATAAGACCCAGATTGAATCACTGTGTGGGGGGAGCTGGTCACCCAGGGACATGAGACAGCCACGACATTAGCCCTGAGGAGCCATGGGGAGTGTGGGTTATTGCGGGAGCTGAGCAGGTGATTGGAAGTGATGGGGCCGGAGTCGGGGGGGCACCGCTCCTCCAGGGCTCCTGGTGAGGAAGATGGGGGCGGGCGGGGAGGGCCTCAGCCAGCCTTGGAGCCTACAGAAGCCTGGGGCCATTCTGTAAGGCCAGTGGTGTTCCAGGGGGCAGAGGGGAAGGGAGAGACCACCTCCTCCTTGGGCAGAATGGGACAGAGAGATGGCTCTGTCCTCATGAAATAGCCACCTTGCCCAGGCCCTAGTCTCCAGGGGCTGATCTCAAAGCACTCAGAGCCAGGAAGAGTGACGGAGGGGAAGGAACATGGGTCCTGCCTCCCGCATCATTTCTTGCTCCTGCTCCTTCCCTGCCCCTGCCACACGCGCGCACACACACACATGCACACGCACACACACGCACACTCAAGCGCACTCTCCCTCTCTCTCGTCCATGTTCTACCACGTGCCTGCTCTGTTCTGTGCGCACGAACACCAGGAAGACCTCCCCACCAATGCTTCCATCCTGTCCGCCGCAACGTCTAACTTCTGTCCCTCCCACTACAGCAACGGCCTTCCTGAGCATGAAGTGCGGAGACAGCCGATTCGGGTCTGAGGTTCTGGGAAGCCTGCCCTGAGGCCACCCCACCATGGGGTGGACACAATGGCCCCAGGACCAGGAGGGTTTGCGGCAGCTGCCGTGAGTAGGACTACCGCTGAGGGGGACTAGCGAGGGGAGGAGCATCCCCCTACCTGCGGCTCAATCCCCCTCTCCAGAGTGACGTCATCCCAAGAACTGGCAAGAGACACACGGCCAAGGGATAATAAATATAATTGCTATGACAGGACCCTGCCCAGAGAAGCAGGGACATCCTCCACTCCCAGACCCCACTTGTCCCCTCTGGCATGCTGAGGGTCAGTTAGATGCTTTGAGATCACCCTGGGGCTGCTGGGAGTTGCAGGGGTTACCGAGGGCAGGCCCCAGTGTTCAGGCTGCACAGCCCCTGGGCTGGCCGTCTAGCCCAGGACATCCAAGTAGACGGGAGGCGCCTGGGCCAAGGCCTGCAGCCGGGCGTGCACGTCCTTGATGCTGTGGCGTTGCTGGGGCTCCCGCTGCCAGCAGCCCCGCATGATGGCGTAGACCTCCGGTGGGCAGGCCCGGGGCCGCTCCAGCTCCCGCCCCTGCGTGATGCACTCAATCGCCTGGGACCACCAGAGGGAGAGAGAAGAGGGCGCACTGAGCTGGAGCGGGAGGGGGAGGCCAGCAGCTGCACCCCCCACCCCCCACCCCCGCCTCCCTGAGCTCTCCAGGCCGGTCCCACAGATGGCTGGGCCTCTTGGCTACGAATAATCTAAAAGGACGCAGCGAACCCCAAGATTCCTTTCCACCCCGACACTGAGCATGTAGGTAGGCTGGGAAGGCTGAGCTGGGGGTAAGACTGCTTCCCGAAGGGCTGTAATCAGACCTTCAGAAGACTGGCCAGGTGATTTGAGGAAGGGGAGGGGCCCAGGCATTTGCCAAATCCATCAGCCAGGGCTGAGGGCTGAATGGAGGAAGGGAAGGGTCCTCCACCTCTCAGCTCCAGAGGGCAAAAGGAAAGTAGAGCAGGATTGCAGGAAAAGGCCTTGAAAACTGGCTGGCTGGCGATTTAAGGTACAGGGCAACCCCAATTCCTTTTGTCTTCTGTAGGTACCATTCTGTGGGGTCCTAGCACCTCTGAACAGAAACTGCAGCAGGAAAGATCCAAGCTAGACTCCAGGAAGGACTGTTAGAGCAGCTAAGGGATCCAAAGAAGGGGAGATGGCGGCAGGGAGATGGGTGACGGGGCCTGGAGGCTCTTCCCCTCCCTTCTTTCCTCCCTCCCCATTAAAGGACTTGGGTTATGGGCAGCACTAATTCCATTCCTTCTCTCCGTGCTTGAGAAAATTAAAATCTATAACCCTCTCCCCCACCCCAGCAGCCTCCGGGGAGCAGACTGCATTAGGAGGAGAAATGGAAACTGACAGCTGCGAGCCAAGGAGGGGGTGGGGGGAGCTGCTCTGGGAGACAGAACACCTGGGGCCTGCTCTAGCAGTGTCCAGGGGGGAAGGCAGAGGGAGGGACGGGCCTGTCCTTCCTGCAGTCTGACCTCCAGCCTTCCTGCTGCAGTATCAGGCCCTCTTGTGCTGTGCACCTCTTCCAGGCCTCTCCTTTCCTCCCTGATAATGCCTACCCGGTCTATAAAATGCAGCTAAGCATGGGGGTCTGGGCTCCATCTGTAAAGTGCTTTGAGGCTCCCCCAGGAGCCAGCTGGGCCTGGGCTCGGACTGGGAGTGGAGGCAGGAATCCGAGCGGGAAGAATGCAAGGAGAGAAGGGGACCGACGGAGGCCCAGCCTTGTCGGGCCGCTGGATGGGGCCCCTGCAGTGGGATGGGGCACCCGGGGACCCGAGGGGCAGGGCCGGGCGGTGGGCAGGGCTGACCTCCGTGTTGGAGAGCTGGTACCAGGGCTGCTTGCCGTAGGTGAAGATCTCCCAGAGCACCACGCCGAAGCTCCACACGTCGCTCTCGGTGGTGAACTTGCGGTAGAGGATGCTCTCGGGCGGCATCCAGCGGATGGGCAGCATGGTGCGGCCCCCCACCTGCAGGCGGCGCCGCGTCAT